TAGAGTGCCAAACAAAAAAGAAGCGTATTATATTTCTCCAAGGTTGGTTCTTAAAAAGTACAGTGTGCGATGACATTTTTCTAAGCTAGCGTATTTCGTGTGACGAATCTACTCTTTATTAATCAGTGAAGTACGATGGTGTATCTTTCCGATTCTTTTATCGGTGAGTATCCAGAAAGCGTGCACGTATGCACACACGAAACGTCCTTAACTCTCCAATCTATATTTCTCTAAACTAATCCCATTTGCATTAAAATGCTACAGTAGTGTACTATACATGGATGACTCATATAAATATTAAATGAGATAGGTAATTAAAAGGTCAGATCATAGACGGCCACTGCCGATTGATCCACTACGATGAAATGATTTTACCGTGTCCACGACGTGTTCATGATACGTCCATAAGAAACCAAGAGAGCTCCGCCTTCCATCGAATCCAAGAGGGTAGGCGCGCAAGAAAGAGTTCAAAAACCCAACGGCAGTCCATATGGTGGCCAAAAAAATCGTTGGTGGACACGAAAGAGAGACAGCTGTTGCGAGCGGAAATGTCGAGCTCCAGCTGGTGTCTAGGGGGCCGCCAATGATCCGTACGTGTTGAGCAGCGGCGGCCACCGGCCGTCCAGAGGCACACCAGTGACAACACACGGCCGGCCGTGGAATGGTGGAACCAACAACGGAGACGGACAACAAATCTAGGATGAACAAACGAAACCAAGTACCAGTAGTTGGGCAATCAGAACAGAGGCCACACAGCTCACCTGTCATCCTCCCTGGCCCTCCCTAGTCCCTCCACCATCATCATTCAGGGGACTTTGGTTTGGTAGGAGTACGTCCTGTACCGGCTCTTCTTCTTCTTGCTTCCTTTTCTCATCTTGCCAGGGCCTCGACTCGGAGGAGGAGAATATTCCTACCTTTAAATGGCCGAGCTAGATTAATCATCGATACAAAAATCTTTTTCTAATTCGATTTCCATCTCAGCTTTGCATCATCAGGCCTAGAACAGCTAATAGCCTCCAACCACTATGCTGTTGTTCTTTTCGCTGAAATTTGGCTTATGCTGATTTGCTGTGAGAGAAAAATACTGTTCGTTCGCTGAAAAGTACTGCTGAAGTAATACAACAGAACAGAGCAGTGACTTTCTTATTGGAGATTAAAAAATGGTTATAACGAAGATGGCTACAATGAGTTATGGCTACCGGCAACGAGACACAGTACGTAATAGCTATGGCTGCCATTAATATTGGTGATGAGATACCAGTTATACATACATGGAGTCGGATCTACGATCGATAATGCTCGAATGTGGGCGTTCGGCCATTTGGACGCCGCACGGCTCAGTCCGCCTCGCCACCGTTCGCTCACATCCGCAACCGTGCCTCGCACGTGACGCGCGCTTCCTCCCGTCGTTCGCTCCACTCGTCATGCACCCCGCCGACACGAATTCGCTGCCTCCACCGCGCGGACTAGCGACGTGCGGCCGTGCGCGTCATTCGCCTGCTGCAACCACTACCGAGGCCCGTGCCTCGCGCCCGGACCAGTGCCATCTCTGCGTCACTATGTGGCATCAAACTCCACGCCGGCATCGAGCTCCGCGCCGCCGAGCCTTTTGCAATCATATGTTTCATGTGTTTTAGATGTATATTTTATGTGTTTCATCTTTATGTTTCATCTAGATGTTACAAAAGGATCTGGTGTTGCATATTTGCCATAGCTACACATGTATGTTTCAAGTGTATGTTCCACATGTTTTAGTTGTTTTCAAACGTATGTTGCAAATGTATATTCTAAATGTTTCAGTTGTTTCAGAGGCATGTAGCAAGCGTTTTAGCTGGATGTTGTAATGACTGTACAGGTATATTTCAAGAGTATACTGCATATGTTGCAACGTTCGGACCGATGTTCCCTAAAAAACGTTCGGACGGATGTTGTTGAGGAGATGAGACATTAGGATGGGAAGGGGCGTGGCCGAGACAGAGTGCAGCGGAGGACGGGGCGCGATGGGGGATGGCGCCGCAGCGTGGGGAGGAGCGCGGCGCGGTGAGAATGGAGCGCGGCGGTCTTGACTCAGGGGCGCAGTCGGGATGGGTTTGAGGCGCGAGGATGGGTCGCGTGTGGCCAGACGCAGTCGCTGGCGCGAGATGGGTTGTGGGCTGCCAGACATGATCGTAGGCGCGGGATCTGTGTGTTTACACCAAAATTTGGGAAGAGAAGAACGTGGGAACTCGAAGCTTCTAAGATTGTATCATCAAGGGATCGATTAGATGTGAATCGATATCAGCCGGTTTTGATGCAGTATTGGAAATCGACTATTTTATAGATGACGTCAGTAGATAACATCAACGGATTACGTACAGATGGCGTCGGGGGAGGAAAATATGTCGGACTCTACAAAAAGGAAAGGATTAAGGTCCAAGTTATCTTAAATTAGGAATATTTTCTTTTATTTCAAAGATTATAATAAGTCGTGTTTGAGTATGATTCATGTTTAAGTTTCGGAAATAAATATTGGACCCCGGCTATTATAAGATACATTCAATCAATCAATTCCAATTACTTTTTTTGGCTTCACGCCAACCCTTAGGAGTAGGAGTATTATAGATCTCGACGAGTTCTTCAACAAGCAGGGTTACATCGATCCGGTCGACATCCGGCTTGTCTATAAGTACCGTCATGGCTTGTACTTTTGTTTGTAAGGCTGCATCGGTCTGGCCGACCTCTTACGAGCTCTAGTATAAGTTAGTTATCGATCCTTATCTAGTTTAAGTATGGCTGCATCGGTTAAGTTCGACATTCACTGCTCAAATTAGATTAAGATCAAGTTATTAGCTCTACCTAAGGTGGCATCTTTCGGGTAGATTCATTAAGTTACCGATCTTGCTGATGTTTTTGTTGTCATTAGTTTCAGCCATATCAACCTGCCGGATCAAGATCGATCTAGATCGGCCTCATATCCTTTTAGTCCATCGTTTATTTTGTCACATTGCAATGATTCTTACTTTAAACGACGGATCATATTTTATAGGTCGTTCTACTTCGATCTTGATCGTGCATAGTACGCGGTTAAGGCATGTGTGATCTTGAGAAGGTTTACTAGCTAGTTGAATCCGATCTATATCTCGCTATTATGGATGTAACGATCCAGTCGATCCTCACTGTTAGCACTTTAAATCGGAGTATGTTAGTTGATAGATTTGCTTTTGACTAGGCGTGCTATGCCTGCATCGGCTAAATAGCCGATTACCCGTACTTTAACGCTTATATGTCTTCATAATTCTGTTAAATGTGAATACATCTGTTTATTTTAAATGTTTGATCTGTTATTTTTATCATGGCTGCCATCGATCCGGTCGAACCCCACTGTTAAGGATAACATGTTAGATTTGATGAGTTTATAGATATGTCCATATTAAATAGTCAATTATTCACATGTTGTAGTCTCTTTTCTACCTGAATCGGCTATTTTAGCTAATTTGCCTGTGCTTTCACAGATATGGCACGCTTTTTATGAACCTGTTGAAGTATGGTCGGTTCTATATATTTTTTTATTCTAGACTATCATCATTATCATAGCTGCATCGATCCGGTCGAACCTCACTGTTGACGATAATAGATTAGATCTAGACAGTTCGTAGATCTGTCTATATCAAACAGTCGATTGTTTGCGTGACATATCATTTTTCACCGGATTTATTGGCCCTACACCATGTATTGATCAAATCTGATTTAGCCAGTGATGTATCTTTGACGCATACATGTTAATGGCCCCATTCGCTTGGAGGGATCTGCAAGAATCTGAATGAATCTGAAGAAATTTGTGAGAAGAAAACACTGTTCCGGATGAAAAAAGAAGCGGATCAAACGGATTTAAGGGCACGCGAACGGGGCTAATAGTTTAAGGGAAAGGATCATTAAAACTAGGTGCATTATATTTGTTACTATAAAATTAATCATGACCCGCGAGCGTTACAGTCTTTAACAGTTGATTTCTTCTCGTATCGGCTATTTAGTCGATTTTCTCGTCTGTCTACTCCTGAAGTGACACACTTAGAACTGTCTGAGCAAACCAGCATGTTCCATCCTAAATTATCGATAAACTTTCTTTTCTTGTCAATTGCAGGTCAAATTGACTGACACGTCCTTACAAATTCGCAGAATCGACTGGTCCTGCGTTGAAGCCAAACAGATCTCGAGATCGTTTCAACTTACAGTCTGTTCGGTTGGCTGGTTCGTATCGTTGCTGGTTCATGAAGAAGTACTGCTGGCTGATTTATGTGAGAGAAAAATACTATTCCAGCTGAAAATTTACAATCATTTACGACAAGCTACAACTAAACGAATAGGCTGTTAGTGTGTATCCACCCGACGCGGCAACCACGTTTTCACGCCGACATCGCGAGCGTGGAGACGTCCGATGCGCCGCGTGTGTAAACGATGTAGCTGTGTCCGAACAGGGCTAGCATCAAGATGTCCGGGCTCTAGCCCAACCGATGTACGATGGCCATGACCACATATATCCTCAAAAAATGTTTGGGTTGGAATTCCTAGAGCACCTAAGGGCCTATTTAGTTCCCAAAAAATTTTGCATAGTACTCATCATATCGAATCTTGCGGCACATGCATAGAGTACTAAATGTAGACGAAAAAAAAACTAATTGCATAGTTGGATAAAAAATCGCGAGACAAAACTTTTGAACCTAATTAGTCCATAATTAGATACTAATTGCCAAATACAAACAAAAATGTTATAGCAGTCAGACCCAAAATATTTTGCATCTAAACGCCCTAAGACAAGGGGTGCATTTGTAGTTCCGTAACAAATACGAAATGTCACCTCCCGCCGGGCCCCACTTCGTGGGCCCAGGCACCAGGGCGAACTCTACGGCGCACGATAAAAGGAGACGTTGGAGGCTTTCATCCCGGACCCCAACCAAAACCCCCCTTCTTCCCAACCGACTCCCAATTCCACTCTCGCGTCTCGCCTTCTTCCGTCCCACGCAATGGTGGCCGCTCGCCTCCGCATCGCGCTGCTACTACTCTCCGTGTGCCTCTGCTCCGCGTGGGCGCGCCCACGCCTCGAGCCGACCATCCGCCTGCCGTCGGAGCGCGCGGCGGCGGCGGCGGCGGCGGCCGACGACGAAACGGACGACGCCGTCGGGACCCGCTGGGCCGTGCTCGTCGCCGGCTCCAGCGGCTACTACAACTACCGCCACCAGGTACATACGCGCTCCGTTCCGTTCCTCTCCGCTCCGCCCCGTAAATCGAAATAGGTCCTCGCACCGCACATGCTGCATCATCGGCGGCTTGGCTGCTTACTCGATTCCCTCCCGTTCGCGTACTTTGATTTCCTTCGTGATGTGATGATTTTGCCTTTCGAAATCATCTATGCGGGCAACCTGTAGAACGAACCTGATTCGGGGCAGGAGTACGATTTTAATATTTGATATGACAGCTGATCATCCACAATTAAAGCTACAGAGATTATTTTTCGCTGCCCATTCGGTTTAAGAAAGCAAAACTTTAAGTTTTGTCCATTCCACCTGCACCGCCCGATAATAGTAATATACTAGGAAGATTTTTTCCGTTTCGGTCCACCTCATTCGCCGGCCGTATGAACTGGATTCGGTTCTCTTGTTCTGGCTTACCATTTTCTCGAGATGGGAAATTGAAAGGACAGGTAGGTGATGAAACTTCTGACTTTTTGGGGCCTACATGTCACCATCAGTGTAGCGGGGAGCCGGCCAGCCGCCGGGGATCAGCAACCACTGATAAGGCCAAATATATAATGCTGATATTTTATAGTACCTGCCTAGAAACATGACAGTTTAATTATTCATATTAAATGGAAGCAAAATACTGTTCTTACTATGTACTGGATGTCTGATTGTATGAGCATCATTCATCTGGCTTATGCTTGTGTTCCAAGTTACTACTACTAGCATACAGCATGATTTTTCCCCTTCTATATTACCTAGCATGATTTTTCCCCTTCTATATTACCTAGCATGATTTTTCCCCTTCTATATTACCTCGAACGAAGGGCGGGCCTGGTGCAAACGGTAGAGTCTTACCGCCTGTGACCGGAAGGTCTCGGATTCGAGTCGCGGTCTCCTTGCATTGCACAGGTGAGGGTAAGACTTGCCACTGACACCCTTCCCCAGATCCCGCACAGAGCGGGAGCTCTCTGCACTGGGTACGTCCTTTTTTATATTACCTCGAACATTATGGTTAGAGGAATCAGGCATGAACCATAATCAGTCCTATGTTTTTATTGACAAAGAAAGGTTAACTACTAATATAGCAGTATCTTTTGTTGGAAGCTAATACAAGCTCTTTTTGGGATTGGAACTTGCAGGCGGACATCTGCCATGCGTACCAGATCATGAAGAAGGGAGGACTCAAGGACGAGAACATCATTGTCTTCATGTACAATGACATTGCGCATAGCACGGAGAATCCGAGGCCCGGTGTCATCATCAACCATCCCCAGGGTGGCGATGTCTATGCTGGGGTTCCAAAGGTAATCCATATTTTTATACCTTGAGTAAAGTTTACACTAGTTAGACATGTTCCAATATTAACTTATTACTACTAAGTGGAGTAGTTGTGAAAAAGAAAAGTTACATCGTGACAGTATTATAATTAATGTATTTAACCCCGAAAATATCAATAGCACCAAGTACTATAGTGAAAATGACAGAGTGCCTAAATTCCCATCGGCCTGACGTCTTTGGCCTATTTGTTGTGAACGACAAAACTGGTATAGTCCACCGCAATTTTGTGACGAAAAAAGCTTGGAGAACCTAATTACAATTGAAATTTGCACATACTAATGTCAAAACATATTTATAATACTGATAGTTACGCACCCTTAGTCTCAATCTTCCAATTTCCATCCATTTGGCTTAAATTAATCTGTCCCCCACTGCAGGATTACACTGGGCGAGAGGTCAGCGTCAACAATTTCTTCGCTGTTCTGCTTGGCAACAAAACTGCTCTGACAGGTGGGAGCGGCAAGGTTGTGGACAGTGGCCCCAATGATCATATCTTTGTTTTCTACAGTGACCATGGAGGTCCTGGTGTCCTTGGTCAGTACGCACAACTAATCATAATTGATTTAATTCAGATTAGATGTTTCATAAGATAAAATTTCAGTGCGTACATGCATGTAGAACCAAAATAGGCACAGTTATTTACTCTGTAAAAAAAATTCAGGAATGCCTACGTATCCATATCTCTACGGTGATGACCTCGTAGATGTCCTGAAGAAGAAGCATGCTGCTGGGACCTACAAAAGCCTGGTATCATTAGTTGTTTGTTCAGTTCTGCTCTGCAGAGTTGTGATATGTGAAGCAATGGCTTGAGGTATATGCGTATTCTTTCACCTTTTGTAGGTCTTTTACCTTGAAGCATGCGAATCTGGGAGCATCTTTGAGGGCCTCCTGCCGGATGACATCAATGTGTATGCGACCACCGCGTCAAATGCAGAGGAGAGCAGCTGGGGGACGTACTGTCCTGGCGAGTTCCCGAGCCCTCCGCCGGAGTATGACACTTGCTTGGGAGACCTATATAGTGTTTCTTGGATGGAAGACAGGTACTTGATTTTTCGTGTCTTTTTCATTGCATTTCGATACTGTGAAATATTGTTACAGGAGACCACGTTCTGTTTCACACTATACACTATGAGATGGCCCGATGTTACAGCAGACCACGTTCTGTTGCTGCAGCAGTGCAGCTCAACTCGAACTATGCATGTAACTAGTTAGCCTCTAGCCCTTGTGTAGGCTGCAAATATAATAACCATAGAACTAGACTCATTAATCCTTTTGTAGTGCTCTGTTTTTTTGTCATACGTCTAATGATCTAAATATTGGGGTAGGTCAGCTGTGCATATAATCTTATTTCTTGGTTCATGTGTTTAAACTTGAAAGATACCACTTTCCTCATTTAGTGCTTATTTGAAATTTCTCAATGTTGACAGTGATTTCCACAATCTGCGAACTGAATCTCTCAAGCAGCAGTACAAGTTGGTGAGTGTTTTGAACTTGAATTTATTAAGCATTACCTTCCAGCGACGCTTCACTATGCCTAATCAACGCAATTTATTGGTTGATCAGGTCAAGGATAGGACAGCGGGTCAGGATACATTCAGCTATGGTTCCCATGTGATGCAATATGGCTCATTGGAGTTGAATGTTCAGAAATTGTTTTCGTACATTGGCACAAACCCTGCTAACGATGGCAACACGTTTGTAGAAGATAACTCATTGCCATCATTTTCAAAAGCTGTTAATCAGCGTGATGCTGATCTTGTCTACTTCTGGCAGAAGGTTTGTAAATCATGAGAAAGCTAGTTATCTTGATTGTTCTCAGAAAATCTCTTTACTTCATTAATTTCTTTTCAACAATTTATGCATTCATTTCGATGAACAAACCAACTGATTGACTTCTTTATCTCTCATGAAGTACCGGAAATTGGCTGATGGCGCATCTGAGAAAAATGAAGCTCGGAAGGAATTGCTTGAAGTGATGGCCCACCGGTCTCATGTTGACAGCAGTGTTGAGCTCATTGGAAGCCTTCTCTTTGGCTCTGAGGACGGTCCAAGGGTTCTGAAAGCCGTCCGTGCAGCTGGTGAACCTCTGGTTGATGATTGGAGTTGTCTCAAGTCCATGGTAAGCCTCTATTGACTATGCGTGCAGATAAAGCATGAAAAAACTCTTGCACTGCTTGCATTTTTGCATGCCTAACCTACCTCTGCATTTGCTTCAGGTTCGTACTTTTGAGGCACAATGTGGGTCGTTGGCACAGTATGGGATGAAGCACATGCGATCCTTCGCAAACATCTGCAACGCTGGCATCCTTCCTGAAGCAGTGTCGAAGGTCGCCGCTCAGGCTTGCACCAGCATTCCTTCCAACCCCTGGAGCTCTATCCACAAGGGTTTTAGCGCCTAAGAACCATAGGTGAGGCGTAATATTACAGCCGCTCCACCACACCGAACTCCATTACATCACGGTACTCATGGGGTCTTAGTTCTTCAACCATAGGTGAAGCAGACTTATACCATTATTATAGCTGTTAACACCGTACCAGATTACGTAGCTATGCCCAATTTCCGGTGTACATACATAGTCGGAATGTTATTTGGCGATTGTATGGTCGTTGGTGTATATATTCCCTATAGTTTGTTAGCAGATGTGTAGTTTGTAATTCCATAAATGAAGAACGCATTGCTGCTATTCTGTATAGCCGACTGATGTTCATGTGAAACTTTACCTCATTCTTGTTGGAAAATGGACTATCCATGGTGGAATGCTTGCATGGAATCCATCCCTGAGTGATCCTTTATTCAAAATGAATCATTTGTTCATTTCCATGTGAGGTTCGGTTTATTTTCAGTTGTAGGCTTGTGGCTGGTGACATCTGTTCCACTATGATGCCAAACAAGTATGGGCAGTTTCATTTGTTTTGTTCTCTGTCACATTGTTTTGCACTATATACCTGCAGTAGTTACCCATGGAAAGAAATAAAGAATTCCATCAATGAGAATCCCAGTAGTCACTGTTCAGTTGCAAATTGTTCACCCTTTCACCCCCAAAGCATGCCGGATTTGGAATTGGAGAGGAATTTGGGAAGGAAGCAAGAGCAGGGAAGGCTAGCAAGAGTACGAAGGATTGACTTCATTCATTCAGAATTGTCTTATACTGTACAATGTTTAAGCCTTCTGTGATGTACAGTACTACTTCCCTCCTATTTATCCTCGCCAAATCCCAACATACACGGCCACGCTTACATGGGCCGAATCCATTGGTGAACTATAGTTGTAAAAGGAACTTTTCCCCTGTGAGTATGTGATATTTTGCTAGAAATATTTGGACTAGGGTTTATTTATGTTCATTAGTTTTTTTTTTTTTGAGGAAAATTTATGTTCATTAGGTGGTGGTAGCAGCTCATTCCGTGGCTTTATAAGCCCAGCCCATTGGACATATGCTTATAACTTGTGATGCCTATGTTCCCCTTTGAGCCAATTGTTCAGTACTTGTGACAATGTTTCTCTTTGATGAGTAGGCAAAGGCGCGACTAATTCATTGGACACGGCACAAGTATTGGAGTGTTGAAAATAAAATAGAATCAATCAATCAAGACGATACTTGCAGATGTATGCATCCATATACAGTTTAGGCTTGCAAAAGGCACCAAATTCAGATGAAACAATCTAAGACCTACAGAAACATGCAAAACATTCAAATTCTAATGACACCATAATTAAGCTGTGTACTTCTCCATTATCTAAAACAGCATCGTTAGTCGCAGTAGCACCCCTACATGATCAGATCACACTTGCTTTCGGAAGCTGAAGAAACCAGCCGAGATGAATTCGTGCAGTGCAGCTATGCAACGCGAACCAAGAACGGTGTTGGCATGGGAAGCATGCTGGATTCTGGCGCGGCGACGACGAAGCCCGGTCCTGCGTACATGGCCCGCGGCTTCCATAGTATCTCCTCCTCCGTGTCCATGTCGTTGCTGCCAGTACTGCACTACTGCTGCTCTCGCCGTCGTCGAGTGCCTTGGCCCACGGTGGGCGACGCTTCTTGTGCTTGTGCACGTCCCAGCGCTCGGCGGATGACGCGCGGCTGATTGTGCACGTGCTGCTTATGAGGGGAGACGTGCCTGACGACGACGACGAAGCTGGGCTCGCTGCCTTCTTGTGCGCGTCCCACCTCTCCACGGAGTCTGCCCGGCCGGGCTTGGGCGGCGGCGAGGTCGCGTTCTTGCGCGAGGATCCGCGGCCGGCGCTGCTCCTGACGCTGTCATCGGCGGAACGAGGGCTTGACGCGGCTGAGGATTCTATCCTGGCCGGCTTGGTCTTGCGCGTGTCCCACCTCTCGTCGGAGTCGGCGCGGCTCGGCTTGCCGAGCGGCTTTGGGAGGCCGAGGATGGTGGCAACGCACGGTGTCGGGAGCAGCGGCATCATCTTCCACTTGGGCGGGGTCGGGAGCAGCGCGGGGAGAGCCGCCTGTGCCATGGCAAGGTGCACGCGGGCAACTGGGATCGCCATCGATCGAAGACGGAGACGCGCACACCAGAAGGCAGAAGCGCCGCCAAGTGAACCGAGGAGATGGATGCAACAGAGAGACGACGATCGGTGAGATGATTTCCGGTAGCAGCAGCAGATAGAAATATATATGCCCCAGGGACGCCTGGCAATTCATCGGTCGAATCCTCAATTGTCGTTCGTCAGGTTGAATCGGAGTGGGAGTCCGAATTCATACAGCGACGAGACGCGTGGGCGCCACGCTGGCCATTTCTCTCCAGTCGGTGTTAAGAATATTCACGTGACCGATTGATATCTCCTAAAAATTGGTTGTGCGCTCAGATTTAGATTACGGGTGAAGGCAAATATCATGGTTTCGGTTAGATAGAATAGGTATCTTCTGATTGACGTAATCTTGTGATGTAATCTAAAGTTACCAAAGTAGTTAGCTTCTTCTTATTGTACAAGTTGTATCGCCATGCCAGGAGCTCTTCCTGACTATATTAACACGAAGCCGTGAATCTGAGAGAGCATCACGTTCCAACCATTTTCACATGGTAATCAGAGCTAGGTTAGTCCACAATATTCTCGATGGCTTCCTCTTCCGCGCTTCAACAATCGTTCTCTCTAATCGGTTGTCCCGTCACCGAGAAGCTAGGCAATATGAATTTTCCCCTATGGAGCGCCCAGGTGATGTCTGCTCTTCGCGGTGTGCAGATAGCGCACTATCTCGAGCCCGACATTGCGGTGCCGGCGAAGCAGATCCCCAAGGCGGTCGACAAGCCGACTGAGCTCATCCCCAACCCTGAGTATGAAACTTAGGTTGCGAAGGACCAGCAGATCGTTAACTATCTGCTCTCCAATATCTCCAATGAGATCCAGATGCAAGTCTTCAATTGCGTCACATCGGCCGAGATCTGGAAAGTGATCTCAGAGATGACGGCTTCCTAGTCTCGGGGCCGTATCATCAACACGCGCGTGGCGTTGGCCACAGCGCAGAAGGGCTCGTCTACAATCGCCGACTACTTCAACAAGATGAAATCTCTTGCTGACGACATGGCGGTCGCCGGCAAACGTCTTGAAGATGAAGAGATCATCTCCTATGTACTAGCCGGACTTGACATGGATTTTAATTCGATTGTCTCGGTTGTCGCGGCGCGCACGAAGCCGCTATCTTTGGGCGAGATCTACACCCAGCTCACTGGGAACAGCGGATGGATCTCCTGCACGGTGGATCCGATTCATCTGCTAACACGGCTACACGTGGAGGCCGTGGCGGTTTCAGCCGTGGCGGTGGTGGCCGAGGATGCGGGCACGGCCGCAACCGTGGCAACAACAACAACAGCGGGCGTCCCCGGCAGAACTACAACGGCGATAAACCCATCTGCCAGCTCTGCGGCAAGGAGGGCCACACCGGACTCCGCTGCTTCAAGTGTTTTGACGCTTCCTTCACCGGCACACCAGAGCAATCCCGATCTGCCTCCTCTGCGTCATATGGGATCGACACCAACTGGTACACCGACACTGGTGCTACCGACCACATCACGGGAGAGCTGGAGAAGCTCACCGTGAGGGACAAGTACCATGGAAACGGCAAGGTTCATGCTGCTAATGGTGCAGGTATGAGAATCAATCAAATTGGTCGAAGTTTTGTTCGTACCCCAAATCAAAATCTCGTCCTAAACAATGTTCTTTATGTTCCTGAAGCTAACAAAAGCCTTGCATTTGTTCATCGTCTTACATCCGATAACCATGCTTTTATTGAATATTATCCCAACTATTTTTTGATTAAGGACCAGACGACGAAGAAAACCATCCTTAGAGGGGAATGTGAAGGCGGCCTCTACCCGTTAAAGTCTAGGCCGTCATCGAATAAAGGGGCGTTTAGTGCTGTCAAGTCTCCTTTGTCCAGGTGGCATAGTCGTCTCGGTCACCCTTCTTTTGCAGTCATTCAACAAGTCCTTAGCAAAAATAGTATTCCCTTTGTTGCCAATTTGAATAAAGAAACTGTTTGCAATGCTTGCCAAAAGGGCAAAAGTCATCAGCTACCCTATTCTAGATCCACGAGTATCTCATTGAATCCCTTAGAACTTGTGTTTTCTGATGTATGGGGTCCCGCGCCCACTTCTGTTGGCAAAAACAGTTATTACGTTAGCTTCATTGATGATTTCAGCAAGTTTACATGGATTTATTTGCTTCGTCATAAATCTTAAGTTTTTCAAAAATTTCATAAATTCCAAGCTATGGTTGAATGCCAATTTGATAGAAAAATTCTCTCTATGCAAACTGATTGGGGAGGGGAATATCAAAAGCTGGATGCCTTCTTTCAGCGCATTGGCATCTCGCATCATGTCTCATGCCCTTATGCACATCAACAAAATGGCTCCGCTGAACGCAAACATCGTCATATTGTTGAAGTAGGTCTCTCGTTTTTAGCCCATGCTTCTATGCCCTTAAAATTTTGGGATGAAGCTTTCATCATTGCCACCTATCTTATTAATCACCTCCTTAGTAAAATTATCAATAACCAAACTCCTTTTGAACACCTATTTCATCAAACACCAGACTACTCCTCTCTTCGTACTTTTGGCTGTGCATGCTGGCCGAATCTACGACCTTATAACGCTCGCAAGTTGCAATTTCACTCCAAACGCTGTGTCTTCCTAGGATACAGTAACATACACAAGGGGTTCAAGTGTCTGGATGTCAATGAAGGCCGTGTCTATATTTCCCGAGACGTGGTCTTCGATGAACACGTCTTCCCCTTCGCCGAACTCCACCCAAACGCCGGTGCTCGATTACGATATGAAATTCTCCTCCTTCCTCCAACTTTGACAAATCCTTCACATGATTTTGGGGATGACAATTCTTCAGATCATTTTGATAATGATTCCCTGCATACTAACCCTATGTCTAAGCGTGCAGCACATGAAAAAAATTCAACGTCAAATGAACTAAATCTGGCTGGAAACGGGCGTCATTTCATGCTCCCTGAGCAATTTCCCGTTTTGGCGGGAATAGTCGACGATCCCCAGGCTGATTCACCTGCACCTTCCACTGCGGAGCCAACAGGATCGGTCTTGGATCCGGCGGCGTCAGCTCCTGCACTCGTGACGAACATGTCAGCTCCACCGGCATCCTCTCCACGTGCGCCACTTGTCTCGAACTCACCTCGCCTGGCTCCGCGGACGGAGGGACAGGATATTTCGACCGGTGGTGGAGAATCTCCCTTGGGTCCGTCTCTCGCCGGATCTTCTGCGCCAGCCACAGATCAACCCACAGGATCTTCTACATCGCCTGCAGCACCGGCTCTCCAGCGACCCACCACACGTCTACAACAAGGTATACGCAAACTAAAAATTTACACTGATGGAACTATTCGATATGGTCAGTTAGCAGCCACCACTGAAGGTCCTATTGATTTGCAACATGCCTTAGTCGATAATAATTGGAAGCGTGCTATGGATGTTGAATGTGATGCATTGATTAGGAATAAAACTTGGCATCTAGTTCCACCTTAAAAAGGTAAAAATGTGATAGATTGCAAGTGGGTCTATAAAATCAAAAGAAGATCAGATGAGAAATTTGACATATATAAGGCACGCCTAGTAGCAAAGGAGTTCAAACAACGATATGACATTGATTATGAGGATATTTTTAGTCCTGTTGTGAAAGCAGCCATAATTCGTCTTGTGCTCTCTTTAGCTATATCTAAGGATTGGTGTTTGAGGCAACTCGATGTTTAGAATGCTTTCTTGCATGGTTTTCTTGAAGAAGAGGTATACATGAAATAACTGCCAGGTTATGAAGATAAGACCAAACCACATCACTTATGCAAACTTGATAGATCCCTATATGGTTTAAAACAAGCACCACGGGCCTAGTATTCTAGGTTGTGTGGTAAACTTCAGAGTCTAGGCTTTGTTCCCTTTAAAGCTGACACATCATTATTCTTTTATCGGAAAGGAAATCATGTCATCTTTATGCTTGTATGTTGATGATATAATTGTGGCCAGTTCATCAGAGGAAGCAGTGGATGCTCTTCTCCGAGATTTAGAGAAGGACTTTGTGAAAGGACCTAGGATGACGCCTAGAGGGAGGGTGAATAGGCGTTTCTGAAAATTAACACCTTTAAATGCGGAAACGATTAGTAAAGAGAGTTTCCAAAATGGAAACTCCAGATAAAGAGTAGTAACACCCCTCACAAGTTAGGCACAGAGTATATAAAAGATACTAAATAAATCTAGGAGCCAAACGCCTGCAAACAAAGAGTTAGACCACAATACAATTCAGTTTGGCGCAGGGGCTAATACCGGACGTGTCCGGTATTCACGACTTCAGTGGAACAGCCCCGAACTTGCTCCTTTTGATTTCTATCTTCAATCCAAACTGCAGGAAACTATTATAGATAGTAATATACACAGAGAACCTGCAGAATAGCTAGAGCAACACAAATATCAAATAAAATGCGAATTGAGACACGATATTTGTTTTACCGAAGTTCGGACTCGTTCGAGTCCTACTCTCCATTGAGGGGGCTGCGGGCGACCCAACGAAGGTCAGCCCTAGAGGGTACCACGAAGGTCACTCTAGCCGAAGTCTTTTCCAACTCCTTTTCCTCCTTCCACTAAATGATTACGAGGCAGCAGAATCGACCATTACAAACTTTCTGAAGCAACCATAATCTCTCGGTTGCTCTCCGGCGACGCCTAGCCATCTAGGACCAAAGAGTCCAAGAGTAACAAATGCGAATCACGAGATTGACAATATGCACAAGTGCTCAAGTGGTGGCTTGCTCTCTTTTTTGAATTCTCTCTTAACCCATAAATTGATTTTGCAATTTGGATCACACACTCACTAAGAGAGGGTTTAGGAGAGTTGGCAAGGCTCAAAAACGTGTGTCTATCTCAGCAGAATTAGCTGCCTCCAAAGGTGGAGGCTTGGGGGTATTTATAGCCCCCTTGAAAAACTAGCCGTTTTATAGCCGTTGCAATACCGGACACGTCCGGTATGCAGTATGACTT